CAAGTACACAATTAACTAAAAATTTTGAAACTTAGGGAGCAATCTGCCTGGTAGTAGTTTGTCTAGAGCTATCTATACTAAATCAGGTATAACTCTTTGTACACGAATCCAATGACCAAGAAAGTTTAAAGGAAGTTATTTGAAACATAGAGGAACAACTTTTATGCTTTAAGTTTCACCTAGAAATCAATCTAAAATCCTTGAAAATACACCCCAAAATTCGGACAGAATTTACTCCTTATCAACACTAATTTATTAGTTCATTCCAAGCCAACTTTAAACATGTTTTAGTTCACTTAAATTTAGTCCAAGTTCAATCCAACCTATCACCACATACTTGGACATTTTTCAAAAAATCATAACATCATAAATCATCACAACAAGGCATCCATACATAGATTTATCCCAAGCATCAAGCATATAACCATTGAAGATTATTACAACCCATGAAATAAACACTAATAAAATAACTTAAAAAAATAATTTAAGACATTAATCAGCCAAGAAATGAAACCTACTTACCTCTTTTAGGTTTAATTAGAATTTCCTTAGCTCTTTTTCTTTCCTTTTTCCCTTTTTCTTTCTCTTTTCTTTCTTTCTCTCTTTTTGCTATTTTTCTCTCTTCAATGTGGCTTCTCTTTTAATTCTGGATAGCTACGGTTTTTGGCCTAAAAATGGCAGCCATTTAACCCTCTCTTTCCCTTATATACTCACCTTTTATCCTCTCATTTATTTATATCATAAGTGTTAAAATTTAACTAGGCCAAATGTAAAGTGGAGGAAGCTTGGAAGGCAAAGCTGGCATGTTTTGGAAGTCAAAGGTGATAATTTGGCTTCTAAGCATTTAATTCAAGTGCTTAGGTGTCTAAAGAAAACTTAGGATAAATAAAAACATTAATAATCTGGGTTAATGTAATTAGAAAAAATTTATTTTATAAAAAAATTCGAAAATTTTCATTTTTAAAATTCGAAATTTCCTTTTCTCCAAAATTTCAGCAGTGTTACCTCCTAACCCATCTATAATAAAATGTGCATAACTCTTTCTATATGTATCCCACATTTATGAAATTTTATAGAGAGCTATTACACACATAGACAAACAACTTTTATTCTTTACATTTTTCTCAAAAATCAATCTAACAGCATCAAATAAATCTCACAAGATTCGGGCAGATTCTTCTCCCAAAATTCCAGCAGAATGCATTTCGAAACAACCCTCACTATAATTGGTATAACTCTTAATGTATAGGTCCAAATATTATAAACTTTTATACAGGCCTATTAAACACATAGATGAACAACTTTCATTCTTTAAGGTTGACCCAAAAATGATTCTAAAGGCCTCAAATAATTCACACCAAACTCGGGCAGAATATAATCCTTAAAACACTGATTTTGCATATTTGATTTCTTTAATAATTAAACCATTAATCTTAAGCACAATAACTTTAATTTAACATAAATCACATATTTCAAGCATTAATTTCTCATGATGAAATGAGAATTATACTTACTCTTAATATACACATATATAGAATTATTCCAATACACGTCGCGTTACGGATAAGGGTTTTTACGGGGGTTACACTAATCGTGTTTTGTAGGCGGATACATAATTAATTTTCAACAAAACTATATATATATATATATATATATATATATGTTAAGATCATATTTAGTAGATTCAGAGTATATAGTATACATATGTTTAAAAAAAAAAAACCATCTAAGTTGCATGGAATTTATTAAAATCAATAATCTGAAATAAAAACTACAAAAAAATTGATTCTCATAAATCTTACCTCTTAATCTATGACAAAAGAGATTCTTAAATTGCAAATTAAATAATAAATTAGTTCATCTCGTTTTGGAAAAAGAATGAATTAGTTTTTTATTAGTTTTGACCATGAATAATTTATTTTTTTATTTTTAAAAAGTCTTTTTTTCATATTTTTTCCTATATTTTTTAGTCTTTCTCTATTTTTTAAAACAAAAAATAAAAACATTGAAATAGCAAAAAGAACAAAAAAAAAATAGTTTTTAAACCGAAGGGACTAATGGTTTTATGTATGTAGATACATAATTAATTTTCAAAAAAGCTAAAAAAATAAATCATATTTATCAACAAATAAAAGTTCATAAAAAATTTAATTTGATGAGAATTTTTATAATAAACAAAAAATTTAAGAGATTAATTTAGATCAATTAAAAAATATAATTCGATATATGTGTTTGTTCTAAAATTTAAAAACATAAGAGGCCAAAAACATTTTTTTAAACTATGAGAACAAAAGTATATTTTGAAAAAATGCAAGGTAAAAATAGACCAAATTAAAAACATGAGATTTCAAAATATTTTTAAAAATATGAGGATTTAAAAATATATTTTAAAAACATAAAAGACAAAAAAAAATGAAGTGTAAAATTTGAAAATGAATGAAAAAAAAAAACTTGAAAATACCATTATAGAAAATAAAACAAAAGTTTACTAAAAGCCAAAAGAGGGCCTTGGCTATAGAAAGCGAAAGAGAAAAAAAAAAAAAAGGAAAACAAAAGAGGGCCTTGGCTAAAAAAAATATTTTTTTAATTCGATATCTTTGTTTGTTCTAAAATTTAAAAATATAAGAGGTCAAAAATATTTTTTTTAAATAAGAGGAACAAAAAGTATATTTTGAAAAAAAGTGAGATAAAAATAGACTAAATTAAAAACATGAGATTTCAATATTTTTAAAAATATGAGGATTTAAAATATATTTTGAAAACATAAATGACAAAAAAATGAAGCATAAAATTTGAAAAGGAATGAAAAAACTATAAAGAAATCACGAAATACCATCATAAAAAATAAAATAAAAAATTTTACTAAAAGCCAAAAGAGAGCCTTGGCTATAGAAAGTGAAAAAAAAAAAAAAAAAAAAAAAATAAAAAAATATCACTAATCAATGAACGAGTAAAACAGTCGGGAAGTTCACTATCCAAATGAACAGTAAACTTCCTAGATCTTTTAGTGTTTAGTAGATTTTTGAGTTTGTATATTCGTAATTTTTTAGACTAAGAGTGTTAAATTACACTATTAGTCCTATAAAATTGTAACGCGTGTTAACTTTTTTTTTTCACCTTAATCTCATCTCTCTATTTTTTAGTGAAAATAAAAAAAAAAAGATAAAAATAATGTTTTATCCAAAATATTTTTTATGAGTTTAAATTTAAATCTATGATAGTAACAAAAAAATTTGAGTATAAAATGAAATATTTATTCTATTTTTTTTAATTCTCAAGAGAGTTTTAAATTAATTTTTAAACAATTTGAATAGTATTTATAGTCTTTTAATCAATTTTAAGTAAATAATCTAAAAACCTTAAAAAAAAATTATATCCCCACTTTTGATTCAATTTAAGAAATTTGAATAATGAAAATAAGTAAATTATAATTGACTTTTTTGAGGTTTTATAAATTTTTTAAATACTATTCAAATATTCAAGATTTAAAAATTTTAACTAAAAACTCTTTTGAGATTTTTAAAAAATATTATAAATATTTTATTTTATACTCAAACTTGCTTATTATTATAGAGATAAATTTTAAACTCATAAAGGTATTTTGGATAAAAAAATATTTTTATATTCATATTTTTTTAGTTTTTTTTTCTTTTACTAAAAAACAGAAAGATGAGAGTAAGATAAAAAAATCAAAGAAGATTGACATGTTTTGTAATTGTGTAGGGTTAAGGGTCTAATTTAACACCGTTATCTCAAAAAGTTAACAAATGGACGAACTTACTAAAAAATTAAAGATAAAATAACGAATACAAGAAGAAGAAAAAGACCTGGAAAAAAAAAAAAAGGACTGATCCTATGACCTCATTTGATAACATCAACTCTAATCAGACGGTACGAAAAGACCAGTGACCATTCAAACTTCAACTGTTGAATCATCGATTGGTCCTCCAGCATTTTAATTATCTACAAAAGCATTAAGCAAATAAAATATTATACGAACAACTGATCCTGCTACGCGTCACACAATGTCAGGCATCCACCTCCCACTTTTTGTTCAAATTTCAAATTTACCCCACTAATCATCAAACACCACCTCTCCACGTACTCCCGCAACCACGGAAGCGTGCGAGGTCAATCTAGTAATTACATCAAGAACAAGCCAATCGTGAGCTCCCTTGATTTTTCTAAAACAGGGGCACGTGGCATGATCGAACAAGGTCCACATAAAAAAGCTAACTGCAAAATTCAGGATAAAACTTGCCACTTCAGAATCTACGTGGGATGTCAAATCCACGTCAGTAACACCGCTTCCCAGTTTCCCCTATAAAACGTCAAAAACCCATCCATTTGAGCCAATCCATCAGTCTCACGCTCCTCAAAAAATAAAATTAAAAAAAAAAAAAAAAAGAACTTAAGTCTCTTCGTTTCTCCACTAATCTCCTTCAAATTTCTATTATCACAGGCGATTTGAAATGGATATTCCGGCGGTTACATATTCCAATTCTATACGCAATGTCCGTGTTTCCGATCACCGTAGCCATGTCTTCCACGAAAAGACCTTAAGCTAAAACCCGTTGTCTTCTCTTGCATAGTCTCCAAGTTTTATTTTTATTCTTCTAATCATGCAAGGAAGGTACTAGTTTTTCTTGTACACAAATTTTGGTAGTTAACTCGTTTTCTCAGGGATTTTATTGGGATTAGTGTTCTTCTTTTATATCTCCATTTTTGAGCTTTTTAGAAGTGAGATTATACTGGTAGCTTAATAGAGGAGGATCAATAGCAACCAGCGCGCATTGATTTTGATGAAAATACAAAGCAAGAATCATCAGGATCGGAATGGGTCATTGATGATTGATTAGCCAGTCTCAGTCACAGTGTAAGCAAGCTAGTTGGTGTGTGAGAGAAGGGAAAGCTCTGAATATGGAGCAGCTGCGGAACTGACAATCACCCAGTGTTTAAACCCCGTAGCAATCGATCCTTATTACCCTTCAGTCTTTGTTATGCCTTTCCCTATGAAGATCCAACCAATAGATATTGATTCTCAGGCACCGATTCGAGCTGAACCGGCGAAACCGGTGTTGAAATCGCGTCTAAAGAGACTCTTTGACCGGCAGCTACCAAGCGTGTTGAGGATTTCCTCCGTGGAAAAGCCACCTAGCAGTGAAGCTCAGTATGTGGCTAATGGTAAAGATGATCAGTTTGAGCCGAGCTCTGTTTGTTTGGCTAAAATGGTGCAGAGTTACATGGAGGAATCCAACGACAAGCCGTTTCGTGGCCGCCATCGCTGCAATTGCTTCAACGGCAATGGCAACGACAGCTCCGATGATGAATTTGATGTCTTCGGTAATGGTTTCGGAGAATCAATCGGTACGGCTCCTTCTGGCGATGCCTGTGATTTTCTCAAGGTAAATAAAATCTCTTCAATTAAACTTTTTCTTCCAATTTTATCTGAGCATAAAAGAATAATTTTCTATAAGATATGATCAGGAAGAGCTAAACTTGTGACTTATTTGTTTGGGGTTCAAAAATAACAGAGTTTGATTCCCTGCGCGAGTGTTGCGGAGAGAAATCTATTGGCAGACACTGCAATGATTTTGGAGAAGAACAAGAATCACAAACAGAAAGACGATTTTTTGAGAAAGATCGTGACCGATGGATTAACATCTCTCGGCTACAATTCCTCTATTTGCAAGTCTAAATGGGATAAATCCCCCTCTTTCCCTGCTGGTACGTTTACAATTCATCCTCCTATCTTTATTTTTTTTAGTTCAAAATTCAAAAATGAAAGTCGAATTTTCTTCTAGTTGATTTTGTTTTAATTTTGTTCTCTGATCAGGTGAATATGAATATGTGGATGTGATAATTGAAGGAGAGAGATTGTTAATTGATGTTGATTTCAGATCGGAATTTGAAATAGCGAGATCGACTGGGGCCTACAAGGCGATCCTGCAATCGTTGCCGTACATCTTCGTCGGGAAATCAGATAGGCTTGGACAGATTGTGTCGATTGTGTCGGAGGCAGCCAAACAGAGCTTGAAGAAGAAAGGCATGCACTTTCCTCCTTGGAGAAAAGCGGAGTACATGCGTGCTAAATGGCTCTCGCCTTATGCCAGATTAAACGAAAACGTTTTGAACGACAACAGCAACAAAACTGAAGGGCCAAAAGAGGAGTTTATGGAGAGTGATGATGATTGTTGTGGAGAGTTTGAGCTGATTTTTGGAGAAAAGTCGACGTTGGATTCCGAGTCGTCAATTTCGTCGCCGGAGAAAAGTTCCTGCGAGGATGATGAATTTAAGGTGGAGACAGTGGCGTGGCAGCCACCGGCTGTGAAACCGAAAGGTGTAGAGAGAGGAGCCAGGATGGTGACCGGATTAGCTTCTCTCCTCAAAGAGAAACCATAAAAAATTTTGGAACCTTTTTTTTTTTTAATTTTTTCGAGGTAAAAAAAATAGGAAAAAAAATATAAGTGCTCTATATAAATATAAATATATCTTTTTGTCCCTTTTTTTTTTTTTTTTTTTGCGGGGTGAAGGGTTGTAATATCTGAGGCAGGTGAATCTCATCGTCAATGTAATAAAATAAGAATTATGTAATTATTAAAACAAAGTTAAAAAAAAAAAAGTAAATGCTTCTCTAAAAAAATAATGAAAATTTGTTACCAATAAATACTAAAAAAATTAAAGCACTGAGGATCGATCCTCGTTTCTCTAAATGGCTGTTACTGTTGCATAGAAAATTGGGTGTCATGTCCAATTTTTTAGGTATTGTTTCTACAAAGGGAACAGGGGAGGATGAACTTTCCTTTTTTTTTTTTTTTTAAATCTCATCTTTTTAGGCAAATTACTTTTTAAAAGTTCATTATTTTTAATTTTCTCAAAGAGTTATTGAAAGAGCGGTGGTGCTTGGGGGTTGTTGTTACTGTTGTTGATGATGACGGCAGTGGCTCGTGTAGTCTCGAACGCTGTGTGGGAGGAGGCAAATAAAACGTTCACTGGAATGGCGTGATATTCTCTTTAGCTTTACATGTTAAAAAGCTTTTTTATTAGTTTAGCACTCCTCCACTTGTGTTTTTGTTTTTATTTCTTTGTTTTGGGAGACCTAAAAAACGTCTCTTTTACTTCAATTCAGCTCGTGAATCCATTCATTTCAATGGTTTTCACGGCCTTCAGGGAAATTTCCCTTTCATTTGGGTCAAATTTGTGAGTTTTGGACTGTGGAGAAGGGGTATAAACTAGGAAGATGCTGATACACGTGCAAGATAAGCGCTGGGTGAAGTTAAAGAGGGGAGGTAGTTTGACCCTCTCGGGGAGCTTGGACGTGTAAGATTGTACATTTATGTTCTTTAAACTTTTAAGTATATGATTAATTATTAGTTTTTGAGAGCATCAATGCTCATATTTTAGCTTTAGCTACATGATTAGCTGATCAATTTGTATAATCGGAAGCTAATCCTGTTTTTTGTTCTTGATATTTGAGAGACATTTGGGTCATAATGTACCTGCAGCTCATGGGATTGAATTCAGCCTCACTCTAATATTTTATTGGGAGGACAAGAGGGCTAACACACCGAAATCTGAAATCTTATGGGAGTAATTTGTCCATTTGTAACTTGTTCTATTTTGCTAAGCTGTCTACTCCTTTAAGGAATCAGCTTCTTTAGGCTACTTTTAAATCCTAATACATAAGATGTTAAAGGTGAATTCATCTATCCCTTGTGCCTTTCTTCTTTTCTTTGGATGAGTGAACCGTTAAACAACTTGGCATACTCAAGGACAAGCTGGGTGGATTTGAATTAAAAATACCAGAAGGTTGTAAAGACCGGCAGGAGTACTGTGCAGTGGTTTCCAAAGAGGCATTAATTGGAGTGCTATAGGACCAAATGAAGCGGTATAGAAATGGTTAGAGCTCTATTTTGGAAATATGCATCCCAGGAACGGGAGAGTTTCATAAATAGCGCAGCCTGCTAGCATTTTTCAGCACAGAATTCCCTTTTCCGTCGGTTTACTTTGGTTTCATTAACAATGTGATATTTTTACGCAGAGGAAAGGCTACCACAATCATTGTTGTGGGGCAGTTCTGTTTGCAATAATCCATTTTTCCTTTGTACACATCTGATTATTAGGAAAAATACTTCCACAATCTTAGTCATGAAGTGGGTGGGGTCGGTTACAAAGCTATCAGAACTAATAAGGGTTGTGGGGTCTTTTTGGGTGATAGGACTGATGGTGGGGTGGGGTCCCTTCTCCCTATACAAAGCAAAATAATAAAAGCAAATTTGCCTAAAGTTTGACAATAATAATGCTTTAATGAAAGCAACCCATCACCTAGTCTCTCTCTCTCTCTCTCCCTCCTCTTCATAAGGTATGAAGATTGCTTGTGAGGCGTAAATTTGATTTACTGGGTTTGCCTAGGCGTCACGAAATCAGAGTATTCATAATGCACAATGGAAAAAGAAATTTGAAGTGCAGATTGTTGGGCTTCCAAAAACGAATGACTAAATGAAATTAAGGTAAAATTGCTACATGGAATTGTAAACCGAACAAAAGAGTGAGAGAGAGTGGAGACACTTTTTTTATTTCTTTTTATAATCTTTATACGGTACTTTTATACACAGCCCAAGGTTACTCATTTATCAAGTAGAAAAAAAAAAAGAGAGTAAATATTCTTTTGATGGTAGCGTAAGATTTGGAGCTTTACTTTAATCACAAATGGCAAGGGTTTCTCGATCCTAAACTGGGCGAGCGGCTTCGTGAAAAGTCTAGACACCTTAGCCTGTCATCAATCCAATCATGATTTAACATGTCTGCCCACAGGGACAACGATCCCTCCTTTATTCAAAGGCATTTATCCGTTATGACATGGACTCAATATTAGGTGACTTGAGGTGGTCCTCTCTGTGCGTTTTACCTTATTCTTCCTCTCTCTCTCTCTCTCTCTCTCTCTCTCTCTCTCTCTCTCTCTCTCTCTCTCTCTCCTTTCTCCTTATTTTCGCATTTTCTCAACTTTTTATTGCTGTTCTACACACGTTACTGTTTTTTTTTTTTTAATAAAAGTTTGAATGCACTAAAACTCAAAAAGGCATACAGCAGTCACGTGATTATACGATAAGGCAATCATACTTCTGATATTCTTTCTTTAATTTATGAAAAGCTTAAATGTCGACAAGCATAGTTTTGATTTGTGTTAATATAGTTTACTCCTCTGACTAGCTCTGCTATAGCTTTACCTCATCAAATCAATTGAGCAGATCAACATAAAACTATGAAAAGGGTATATCACAATACTCCTCCCTGATTCTTGAGGTTTCTGGTTCTTTTCTCCCCTTACACTGCAAATTCTTTTAATAACTTGCCTGAATTTTTTTCTTTTGTTTTCAATTTAGTAACTTTTCTTTATTATTTTCGTATTTTTGGGCTATTTTGCATGATAAAATCCCTTGAGAACTTCATAATGACCTCTTTAAGTTTTTAGATTTGTGAATTTGTCAATTATCTTCCCAAACAAAAAAAAAACAAAATTTAAGGAATCTAATCGCGCTAATTAAGCAAATAAAAGGAAAACTAAAACCTGACCCAGTAGAGTGCTTAAAAAAAATGTGGTTAAGGAAGAATTTTAACAGAACTCTCACATCTCAGGGGATCGAGATATTGTAGTTAATTTATCCGGATAGAAACCGAAAAATCATGAAAGATACACAGGCCATTGAAGGTGATAAATTTTGATTTGACTCGTTAATGCAAAATAAATTTTAATCCTTTAAACGAGTAATTTTCTCAATAGATGCGAATTTACCCATTCGGCAAGTCAATGAGCTGTTGTGGCAGTGATCTTCACTTCATTGAACTCGTTTCAAGTTCGGCATTACAGCTCACTTGCTAGTTGCTAGCCAGCAGTACTTATTATTTGAACCAGCTAGTTAATATTATCATGAACAAAAATTCCAAAATCCCAGTTACTAATCCATATACGGACAGTTTGCAAATCGGCAATTGAAACAGTAAATTGAATTCACATCAGATGTCAATTAATATATACGAGTGCTGCTGCAATTATTAGCCTTTGAGTTCCAGCTACTGTATGTATCTGCAGAAGTTGCAGAGGGCACCGATGGATCATGATGCTGCCGACTTAAATGATTTCGCAGCATCCCATTGATGCTAGCATTGAATCTTTGTGCCTAAAAAAGGTAAAAATAACAGTTCAAAGAAAATGACCCAGCTAGCAATATATTAATATCAAAAGCCAACAATAAAAAGTTCAAGAGAACTTGAATATCTGTTACCATAAAATTAGTGCGTATAATGAGATAAAGCACGAGTCATTAGCGTTCCCATTATTTAGCATTCAGGCAATGCTATATGACGCAAATTAAATCGCTTCATGATATTACTTCTCTTTGCTGTCTTTCCGGCCCCTTGTATTTTTCTCTTACAAATCTGACAAGCATTTACTATTCTTTCTTGATCTCTCCTGTTGCTTTTGAAATGGATTCAACCAACGCTATCTAGAAATGCATTTTCCGATGACGCAGTTCATGAAAATTGAGGAATATTCATTATCCCGGTAGTAGAATATGCCAAAGCAGAGCTGGCGTTGTCATTCCTGCAAATGGATTTCCATTCGGCCCAGCTTTACAAAGAGGTCCTTTTCTAATATTTGCCGCGCCACAAGAGTGCTACGAAACACACAACACAAGAAGATTGGCTTGCGTTTCGCTAAGCAGGATTTGTCAGTAGGATGTCAATGATTCAGATTGGAATTGGATTTTACTTTATCTTTATCCTGCTCAGAATATTTAAATTCATTATCCATCTCCAACTCAAACCCGATCACAACGGATGGGATGAAAGACTTTATCGGTACCTATTGTATTAGACCCGACCTGAATGCTTTCTATTTAAATTAATTTTTATGAAAATAAAATATAAGTTTGAAAAAAAAAATTGTATCTCTATCCATGAATCATAAAATAAAATCTAAATTTTAAACCTAATAAAAACCTTTTTATAAATTATAAAATAAAAATCCATATCTTATATTATAAAATAAATAAATAAATAAAAATTTTAAAAAATTAGGTCGGATGATTGGACGAATGAACTCCAATCAAGGTCAATCAGGATTAATCTACTTCTAATTTCATCTTGGTGAAAATTCAATCAAATCAGATCATAATCAACACTGGATGGATGGAATGAAAATTTCATCCCTATTTGTCATCAAGGCATCAACCATATGTATTCGCAAATCTTTAAGCTATATTTTTTACACTCCCGTGCAACGCTAGGCAATTAGATATGGAGTGCAGGACTCGGAATAAACTTCGTAGCTTTGAATTGATAAAGCTGTAACAAAATTTTTCAAAGAAATCTCATGGAGACTTTACATTACAATTAGATAT